CATCCATGCTGTTGCAAATGGTAAGAACTCCTTTTTACCGCAGTGTAGTATTCCATTTTATAGATATACCACAGTTTTTTTAATCCACTTATCTACTGATGGGGACTTAGGCTGTTTCCAAACCATAGCTATGGTGAATTGTGCTACTATGAACATAGGGGTGCATATATCCTTTCTGATTGGTGTTTCTAGTTTCTTGGGATATATTCCCAGAAGTGGGATCACTGGGTCAAATGGGAGTTCCATTTTTAGTTTTTTGAGGAAACTCCATACTGTTCTCCACAATGGCTGCACCAGTCTGCATTCCCACCAGCAGTGCACAAGGGTTCCTTTTTCTCCACATTGTTGTTTGTTGATTTGTTGATGATAGCCATTCTGACAAGTGTGAGATGGTACCTCATTGTCATTTTGATTTGCATCTCTCAGATGATTAGTGACTTTGAACATGTTTTCATATGTCTTTTGGCCTTTTTTCTGTCTTCTTTCGAAAAGTATATATTTTAGGTCCGTTGCCCATTTTTTGATTGGGTTGTTTATCTTCCTTTTCTTAAGTTGTATGAGCTCCCTGTAAATGTTGGAGATGAAACCCTTATTGGTGATAACATTTGCAAATATGTTCTCCCATGCAGTGGGCTTTCTTGTTGTTTTGTTGATGGTTTCCTTTGCTGTAAGCTACTAATTTTTACTAAACAACTTCTGTGCCTTTTCTTATGCTATTCCCTGTGCTAAAAACTCCTTCAGCTTCCTTCAAAGCTTAGTGTCAATCTATTTGATGCTGCTTTGTCTCTGTATCTATTTTTGTTCATCATTTTATGATGTTCATTATATTTCACAAATGAGTGAGATCATGTGATATTTATCTTTATCTGACTGGCTTATTTTGCTTAGCATAATGCTCTCCAGATCCATACATGCTGTTGCAAATGGTAAGAATTCCTTCTTTTTTAAAGCAGCGTAGTATTCCATTGTGTAGCTATGAAACTTCAGTGGGAAGGCAGCGGAGGGTTAGGGGGGTAAGAGATAAACCAAAGGACTTGTATGCATGCATATAAGCATAACCAATGGACACAGACATTAGGGGGATGAGGGCATGTGCCAGGGGGTTGGAGAGGCCAGGGGGAGGCCCATGGGGGCGGGGGAGAAGGAGACATATGTACTACTATTTGTAAAACTTTAAACAATAAGAAAGAGAAAGGATACAATAAAAATTAAAATAAAAAAAGAACTTAGTGTCAAATTACTCTCAGCATGTGCTATTGCTACTTCTCACATCTGGAAATAAACTTGTGTTCTTCTGAATAACATTAACATTTTCAACTTCTGCTTTATAGTTAAAGCTCTACTGTATTTTTAAAGTGGATATTGAATTTCCTTACTATATTGATTTAATCAGGTGAGAGTTAAAACAATTTAAAATAGTAAATCCCCTACAGACTTTTGTACACAGTTTTACACATAATCAATCCTCAATAAATGCTTGTAAAATAAATGGATGTTTCTAATAATCATATTTTTTCTTTAAACTATTGAAAAGGTATCTACAGAAAAAAAATTTAATTACTGAGGAAATACTAGTTAAATATTTCATGGTGCTTAATATATAATAAGTTTCAGTAGGTTTTCACTGTGTAGTGAAGAAACTACTGAAGTTTGAAGCCTGATGACTTCTCTATATACAATGTGTATTTGTAATTATTTCATTAAATAAATTGGTGATTATGTAATGTTTGGTACTAAGTATAAATATACAATATATTTTTATATGATCTTATTTAAGGAATTACTTGGTTTTCATTATCTGATTTCATTCACTCAACACATTTTTTTTATTTTTTTATTTTCAGGCACTTTGCTAAGCACAGTATATTATGCTTAAGCTTTGTAGAAGTGACACAAAAATAAACAGGTAAATAATTCTCTCTCTACATATGCATATATATATAAATGTAGATAAAATGCTTAAAATTATGGTAAATGCTAAGAGGCAAAAAAGTCTGTAGAGATAATGGCTAGATTAGATAGCTAGAAAAGCCTTTTTGAAGATGTGACATTTTTAGCTAATTAAGCGGATTCTGAAAGGTGGGAACTTACTGATGTACAGAATAAAGGAAAATTCATAATAAAACGGTTTAAAAATACTATTATATCTGAGCAACAAAATACTTGTTAAATCCTTTAAATGTCTAACAAAATAGTTGTTTCTTTGAATCACTCTAAAAATAATCTAAATTTAGTCAGTTTATTAAATTTTTAAAAGAAAAAAGACAATACTTTATAATGAGGTATAGATAGGTTTTTATAAAGATATGAAAAATCCAAAGTTTAGACTTTCTAAAATCTCTATGGAAAAAAGACTAGAATGTAGAGAAGAAGGCAGAAATATGCCTAATTATGTGTACTTTGCATATAGCATAATGCTACTTTTTTTCTTAGTTTTATGAACTAGTTTTGTTTTTTCTTAAAAAATGCTTACTAGACATTTAAAACTCTAAAATAATATTATTAAATATATTTATTAACACTTCTGCTTATTAGGAGACATTTGAAGGTTTGAAGATCATAGTCTAATTTAAGTATTGGGAAATGTGAAGAATGTATTATTTAAATATTGTAAATTATGCATAAGTGATCTAATGGATTCTCTTGGCATTACCCTATGTATGCTTTAATTCATTAATAAGAAAATTCTGGTTTATGATATATAATTAGTAGTTTCAAAACAGAAAAAAAATTAAAAAAGACATACCATATGAGTACAGCCTAAAATCATCATTTTAATCCAGTTGGAAGAGTTTTCCCTTTGCTACTTCATGAAATGATCAAGTTTGTTTCACATTGAAATACAGAATACCAGGAACAATTTTAAAAATAGAGAAAACTTATCAGTTTTTTTTAAAAGAACCTGAATCCAATAAAGCTTTTATTTTTTATTTTAAAAATATATATATGTATATGTATTGTTGATTTCAGAGGGAAAGAGAGATAGAAAGATCAATGATGAGAGAGAATCATTGATTGGCTGCCTCCTGCACTCCCCCTACTGGGGATCAAGCCCACAACCCCAGGCATGTGCCCTTGACTGGAATCAAACTTGGGACCCTTCAGTCCACAGGTCGATGCTCTATCCACTGAGCCAAACCAGCTAGGGCAACATATCAGTTTTTTATTATTAATTTATTCACAGTTAAGACTGCTGTCATTCATGTTAAAACAGCTTTAGAAATATTTCACTGATTATTTTTATGTAACTACCTCTTTGCCATATATTGGCTAAATATAACACAAAATAGAGCACACTTAAAACCCACGGGAAATTATTGGGTTATAGTTTACATACCCCCATCATGGACATAATTAATGAAGAAGGTATTTTTGCATTTGCTAAATATCTGACTCCAAAAAAAAACCAAAAAGAATCTATACTAAAGCCTCTCAGCACATTTTTAAAGAAAAATAAGCATCTCATCCTTTTTATGATCTTTTCAAATTTGAACCAATGTCTCATTGTCCAAGGTGTTCCATTTTTTTTCAAATTATATACAGTAATAAAGTGAAATTTCCACAATAGAAAACTATATTACAAATAGGAAAAATCTTTATATCCTAAAGCTTTTTCTTTAGAAAAATAAGCTCTGCATGTTTTCAGTTTAATTAATGCACTTAAGTGAATATGTTTTGTTTAAATATGTTAAAAAGCTATAAAAATGCATTTATCAAGATTCATCAAGAGCTAGGTCATTATCGTCATACATATCCATGACTACTTAATTATTAGACTAATGACTGTGCTAACAGCAGAAAGGTTGATTAATTTTTTTTTACAAACACTTGTATATTAATAGTTAAGTTTTTGTCAATTCCTTTGTTGTTAAAATGTTCACAGAGATCATCTAACACATGTTCAAGTTACTAGTCTTTTAATATAAATTTAGTAGCAAGAGGCTATATGGCTCAAGCATGTGCCATCCCACCGCATAGATCTGAGGATCCCTGAATATGACCTTCTCCCAGAGGAAAACCATTTAATGCTTCGTTGCACACAGAACAGTAGGTATGAATCACAAAACATCCAGATAGACTACTGACAGGTACATCTGAATAGAATTCCTTCTCAGCCGCTTATCTGCAGCCAGGCAAGCTTGTTTCACCCTCGCTTTCAAAGATAAAGCCACATGGCATGCTGCCTTGGCGGATTCTCACACAGCAAACAGCCCCCACCATCCATCACCGGGGGGAAGAAAACCCTTATTATTTCAGGTATTGTGACAGGAAATAGGATAAAGTACAAATTATCTGTCAGTGGAAAATTCATCAGTCCATACCAAGCCTTACGTCTGCTGCAACTTCCATAAGCTCTGTGCCTCTTGATCTTTTACTTTTAAAATTGACAGTTGTGATACCCCAGAGTTGCAGCCACGGCAAAGTTCGAGAACAAAAAACAGCAGGTTATCAGAGATAATTTATCAGAGGCCAAACAGGGAGAAGAGATGCCAATAATTAGTAAGTAACTGAAAAACAGATCTGTGACAGATGAAGGAATGAAGGTGCACTAAGCTTTTATCTTTAATAGACACCTCATTCCACTTGATAAAAAACAATGACAAATTGAAACCCTAAATATATGGAATATTGGTTATAAACAAGATTAACAATGAATTATGTACAAGATAACATGGAAATGTTTACTTATAAGGGATCTTATTTACATATCTTGTCAACCATAAGTAAATTAGAATGCCAAAACTATATACAATGATAGGTTTTTAATTAAGTATCAATGAATAACACAAATGTATTATCTTCTTCAAAGTTCAGTTTCTAAAAATTATTAGATTTATTTTAAACTGGACAAAACAGACATATCAGTTCTCACTTTCTGCATTTCTCATAGTACACAATTACACTTCACCAAAGCTTTCATTATATATCTCAATAAAGGGCAGGTCATACCACTAGGTCAGTTATAATAGAATTCAATAGCACAAAAGAACAGGACTCACGTTTTAGGGTCAGTTGATAGTCTTTCTCCTGCAAAATCAGTCCTGTGCTTTCTTGGTAATTCTGTGTTAAACCAAAATGACAAAAATCTTAGTTTTTCTTGACATTGTCTCTAAGAATGCATGCAAAGAAACTTCCAGTTAGTTAAGGAGACAAAAAATGCATTAAAGAGTACTGATTTGTAAATTTGGTCCTTCTCCTACTCCCATCTGTTTGCAAAATTTCTGCTCAATCAACTAATTACTGTAGAAACTCAACTATGGCTGTGGTCAGTTAATGAAATGTAGGTCTGGGATTAGCTTCCATAAACATGAGTTACTGGTTGGACATCTAGAATTGGAAGAGGTAAGGGTGATGCTGGGAAAGAAAAAAAAAACAATTTTGAGAATGTACAATATGATAGATTTAGCTAAATTAACTGCTGTGCTATATATGAGGTTATTCATAGTATTCTGAATGTGTAAATAAATGTAAGCAAACTACTTTGAAAATATTACCAATACTATCTTCAATGACAATTTGGGGAATATAAATATAGCTACTAAATTTAAGTTCTTTGAAATTGCACAGGTTTAATTAGATAGGATAGAGGTCCTTTACAGCCACAATCATTTAAGCATTATTAAACACTAGTGGTCCGGTGCACGGAGTTTGTGCACATTAAAAGGGAATTAGCCGTAGCTGGTTTGGCTCAGTGGATAGAGCATCAGCCTTCAGACTAAAAGGTCTCATGTTTGATTCCAGCCAAGGGCACATACCCGAGGTGCGGGCTCAATCCCCAGTGTGGGGCATGCAGGAGGCAGCCAATCAATGATTCTCTCTTATCATTGATGTTTCTATCTTTCTCTCACTCTCCCTTCCTCTCTAAAATCAATAAAAATATTTTTTAAAAAGGTAATTAATTAGGGAAATATTTTTTTAAATATATTTTATTGATTTTTTTACAGAGAGGAAGGGAGAGGGATAGAGAGTTAGAAATATCGATGAGAGAGAAACATCAATCAGCTGCCTCCTGCACACTCCTCACTGGGGATGTGCCCGCAACCAAGGCACATGCCCTTGACCAGACTCGAACCTGGGACCCTTGAGTCCGCAGGCTGATGCTCTATCCACTGAGCCTAACCGGTCAGGGGAGGGAAATATTTTAATATTGCTATTTGCCCTTTCTCTATAATAGAAGTGTCAGAGATGAAAGAAAATTAGTAAAATGTATATGAAAATTTCCCTCCTGTCAGAGTCTGGGGATTGCCACAGGACTCAGAGTCAAGTCCCCACCCACCCATGCGCACCTCAAAATTGTGCAAGACCCAGACCTGGCCAGCCCCACCCCCATGACGCAGCCTCAGGTCCCCTGGCCCAAGCATGAGGGCACAAGGGCACGAGGGTCTGATGACCATTTGCATATTAGCTCTTTATTATATAGGATCTTTTCAAATGTGCAAGAACTTCAGTTAGCAGGCATTAAAATTGTTATTTTTGCTATATCTGTTTCTGTTTATATTGAGTCACTAAGATACAATGCACTTTAACATCATCAGTAATTTCTTTGAAGTTTCAGTAAATAGAGAACATTTTAAAATGTTCAACAAAATATTTACCTCTACTTGTGTATCACAATATTAATGTCAGTTTATTTTCTAGGCATTACAAACTACAACATATAATCAGAACAATTAGTTTTAATATTTAAAATGTCAAATATCATATGTGTATTTAACACCTTATATAAACCATATAAATATAGAGTCATGTAATAGTCCTTAATCACTATATGTCATGATTTGTTTACTGTACAATAAAGTGTTCAAATTTTCTGGTAAATTATTTACTGATTCAACAAATAGATCTTGACTAGGATGGCCTTACAAGTCCTTTCAGCTTGATTAAACAAATTTTAGAAAGATTTCTTCTGGACTCTAGTTCCTGACCTCTTTTTCTTAAAGCATGTACTTTAAACTTGAAATTATAAATTATTTTTCTTCCTTTTTGAGACTTAAATCTTCTCTCAACCTCTTGCCAGTTTTACAACCCAAGAATGTCTTTTTCCAGAATTTGGGAGTGATTCCTTTGAGGTATAATCATCAAGAAAGATGGTGCCTCTACCTCCTAGTCCAGTGGTTCTCAACCTTTCTAATGCCGTGACCCTTTAATACAGTTCCTCATGTGTGGTGACCCCCAATTTCATTGTTACAAATTGAACATAATTAAAACATAGTGATTAATCACAAAAACAATATGTAATTATATATGTGTTTTCCGATGGTCTTAGGCGACCCCTGTGAAAGGGTCATTCGACCCCCAAAGGGGTCGCGACCCACAGGTTGAGAACCGCTGTCCTAGTCTCTATGTTAACAATAAACAATGTTACTCTTAGATACAGAGAACAGACTAACAGCTGTCAGAGTGATGGGAGGAGGTGGGCAGGGTAAATATGGTGAAGGGATAAAGAAAAAAAAAAAACACCTCATAGATAACATTAAGGTGATTACCAGAGAAAAAGAGAAATGGGGCGGGGGGAATGGGATAAGAGAGGGTAAAGGGGGAATAAATGGTGATGGAAAGAAACTTGACTTGGGGTGGTGAACACATAATACAAAATACATATTATGTATTATAAAATTGTACCCCTGAAACCTATTTAATTTTATTAACCAATTTTGCCCCAATAAAAAAAATTAAAAACCCCCACAAAAACAATAAGCATTGTTAGCAAATACAGATGACCTAACCACATTAATCAATCTCTCACCTAATATTCTGTAGTATTTGAGTTTTGTGGCCGGGCTTCTCTAATATTTTTACACAAACTCCTCTTCCTTTTAAAAATCTTCCACCTTGTATTTCAGCAGAATTAAATTAAATATCTCCCCCCTTTTGCAATAGCAATGAATAAAGTTTCCCATGTTTGTGGAACTCCATCTCGTGCACTTTTTCTTTTACATTCTCAAGTGTCTATCATGTGTCAGAACACTAGTAACTCACTGGTAGAGAAGGTAGTTGCCTTCACTGTAGTTTCTTTAGAGTACCTGCAATCTAGTGGGAGACTAAGACCTATATATCAACATTTACAATAGAATGTGATCAATGTCCTGATTGCAAGAACAGAATGGCACATCTAATAAAAGTAGACTAAATGATGAAAAGTATCTATAATAATAAAAGGTTATATGCAAATTAGAATGGACATCCTTCCGGACATCCTTCCATCCTTCTGGATGAAGCTGAGGTTGAGAGGGAAGCCTGGGTCCCGGGTGCCTGCCAGCACCCAGAGGGAAGCCCTGGTTCCAGGTGCCAGAGGGAAGCCGGTGCTGGCAGCCGGGGAAAGGAAGGCCTACTCTTGCACGAATTTTGTGCATTGGGCCTCAAGTAGTAGAATAAGTGTCATTGAATCTGTCACTTAATCAATAATGAGCTATTATCCAGGTAAATTTGAACAGTGAGAATGCTCCAGGAAGTGGGTCCAGCATTTGTGAAAGTCTAAAGGCAAAATCAACCTTTCAGTGCAAAGAAAAGTAAGATAACAATGTTTGGATTCTATACCGTGATATAGGTGAGTGACAAAAAATGAGACTGAAATGTAACTGGAGCAAGATAATAAAAGGTGCTTATTCAGTCATGCAGTTGCTCTTTTTTCTTTTAATCACTTTTTTTTTTAATGGAAGCAATATAACAAGATTCAATGCCAAGAGCTCTGGTAATCAGACTATCAGGCTTTAAAATTTAAACCTATATCTTGCAAGTTGTATGATATTAACAAGTAGTCTAAACCCACTTAATCTCTGAATTGCATAAATGGGTAAAGGAAAATCCACGTATAATATTAATCACAAATCTTAGAACATAGAAAATAATTTATGAAGAAGAAGAAGAAGAAGAAGAAGAAGAAGAAGAAGAAGAAGAAGACAATAGAAAGTAATCTTTGATGATAAGATGATGACATACATAGAATATGAAGAAATGAGAAATTTTTGAAGCATTTTTAAAATGGAAAAATATTACCAAGTTCACATTTTGAAATAGCATGCTGGTTATAATTAGAAGGAGATTTTGAAAGTTAAGAAGTGAATCTGTAATCTAAGCCTGAGAACAGTTGTGGTAGCTAAAACTGTGTAAATATCTATAGTCAATGTTTGTAGAAGCAATGGGTTTATTCAGCATGGCCTAATAAGAGGTAAAGCATCCCTCTGTTTACTAACTGTTTCATGGTTATAATTTTTAATAGCATAGATTTTCACTTCTTAAAGTTTCTTGTTTAAATAATATAGAATTTAGTAGATATCCTTGTGGGCATTAATTAATATGTTTTATTAGAGGAGTTTTGTTTAATCAAGAAAATCAGTTGTATGGCTGTCATCTCCAATATATAATATGACAGTAATCATAAGAGAAAGAGCTAATGTTTATTTTAGCATATTCCTCTACTACTATTCCCAGCATGTAAAAGAATGTCAGACTCAGTAATTATTTGATGAATAAATGTTGTGTGACTTGGCAGGAAACCATTCACTTGGAGTGGTTAATTCATAGGGACAGGCAATTAAAAATATGTATTAAAATTACTAAAGAAAGGTTGTTACAGAGAGTGTGCTATGTTTTATGCTGTTCTTATCATCATGACTATTTCTAAAAGTTAGATGAGATTCAAATGTAAATAACACAAAATAATAATAAATAAAGTAAGGTAAAGAGATGGATGATAGATAAATAGATAAATAAATATGTAGATAGATAGATACATAGATATAGATAGATAAAATGACTCAAGTGAGGTTGACATATAAGTCCAGGGCTTTTTTGGTAGCTTTGTAGTCATCAAAGACCCAAGAGCTTTTCTAGTTTTCCATGCTTAGCCAATGGCTTCCACCTTGAAGGTTCATGGAATATTAGAGGCCCGGTGCATGAAATTCATCCACAGATAGGGTCCCTAGGCCTGGCCAGTGATCATGGCTGATGGCGGCCTTCCTTCCCCTAGCTGCCGGCTACCAGCTGGGCCTTCCTTTCCCGTCTGCTGGCTGCTGGCCAGGGCCTTTCTTCATTCTGCGCCACCCCCTGGTGGTTAGCAC